TAGATCAAGCCAGAACTTTCTCTAGAAGCAACAATGACATTGGCTATCATACTTTGGTCTAGGAAGTCTGCAAAGCATCAAAGTCCTGGGCAAAGGACAAGGAATGCAAACCACACCAGGATGACTGAGGAGGCAGGTGCTCTGCTAATGCTGCACTCAGCATGGCCACATGATGCAAAGTCCCTATTTATTCTGCTCATAAAATGAAAAGGAGAATAGAAGTCCACCAGAAGCAGGGGAAGAGGTTTTGTGAGAGTTGATGCCAAAAAAAGGCTATACTGTGAGTAGTTTCAGGGCTTCTTCTGCTCACCTGGGCTTGCTTGTTTTGGGAAGGAAATTAGAGGAGGCTTATGATGTTTTCTGCTATTTGTAGATGCTTACAAATATACAGCTTGAGTAGAGATGCTAGTCCAGCTTCACAAACACTGACGAGAGTCTTGTCAGCTCTGGTATTGGAGAGGCAGCATGTCGCACCTTAAAATCATCCCCGGCTCTGTGCTCAGCTCTGACTTGGATGCCTTTATATTGGAGTCCCCTGTTCCCTTTTGACGAGACACTGGGCTCTCTCCCAGGTGGTGCCTGGTGAGCAGGGGAAACAGGAGGGCTAACTCCACCTTTGCTTTCTAGGCTATCTTAGCCCCATCAAGATACCTCACCTGAATGTTTTGAGCTCCTAACAGCCTTCTGTTGAGTCTAAAGAGAACTCTGGCAGGAGTCCCAGGAGTCCCAAGTAACTGCACATGCACATGCTTAGCACACTCAGAAGTGATATCAGATTACTGAGGCACTTCCCAAAATGTTTAATTCAAGGTACCCCAACTTTATTAGAAAATTGAGACATGTGCAAGTTTTTCCTTTAAAAGAAGTAAACCTGGAAATGCCCAGGCCACTTAGAAAGCCAAAGTTTGGAGGGGAAGTCCACAAGAGAAGTATTTATCAGTGTCGGTATAGAAATAAGTATCACCCAGAAAGCTGACTCAGGCAGGGTCCAGGACTCACAGATTACTAGCCAAATCTGAAGACGGCATTTTTCACTGCAGACTCTTAACCAGGGGTGTAGCACTGAGTTGACAACAGAGTTTAGAATTCTAGCTACCCATTTTGTTCTCCCAGCTGCAGTAGCACCTAGACCCAACTCTAACCTTTGATGGACATTCTTTTCAGAGGCCACCAGCTGATGGCAGCATTTTTAACCTCCCAGATGGTCCCTCAGAAGAATGCATCACTGTGGGATGGCACAGTGCTATTTGGGAGGGGGCTTCTGGAAATAAAACCTCGGCTGCCAATTGGCACATTCCAAGGACTGCTGCTTTTTGTAAATTCCTCCCCACCTCCAGAACTGCTAAATCCCTATCTATGGCTGTGGCAATGAAACAGAGGAAGAGAAGGACTATTTCAGCTCACCCTGATTTTTATATGCTAAAAGAGGTTTCATATTGTGTATTTCTTCTGAGAAAGGATTAAGAATAACTTTAGAACTTTGCTGTTATGATGATCTGGGACAAAGCACTCTGTGGTGCCAAAAACCAGGGAATGAAGCCTCAGAAGGTTCAACTGAAATGAAGACAGGGGGTTGCAATTTAGAGCAAAGGAAACTGCATAGTAGGGGGGAAATGCCTCTTCCAAAATTGGAGGGCTTGCTTCAAAACGACCTGACTAGGCTGCTTCAGGGCTTCAGAAGGGCAGTTTCTGTTGTAAGCATGCGTTCTGAACCCCATGGGAGCAGAAACAGGTCACCAATGAATCCCTCCTCAAGGCAGTATTGCCTGAAGGTGGACTTTTCCCTGACAAACCTGAAGGCAGACATTCCTTTGAGGAGCCAACTGGGCTTCATGGCCAGGACCTTCCTCTGAAGTGGTTGCTTCTTCAGGGGGCAAGCAGAAAATCCAGTTCCCAGTTAGGTGGAAGTGACACCTGAGAGGACCTTTCCTGTCTGTGAAAAAGTGGGGGCTACAGAAACACAGAGACACAGTCCAAAGCAGGTACTCTGGGTATGTGAAGCTTCAATGGGATCTGGGAAAGGACTGGCACATACCCTCAGTTGGACACCTTCAACAATTCCCTGAAAAACCACATCCAGCCCAAGGCTTGCCACAGTCTCAGAGACTTTTCCCAGCCACCTGCTTCCCTCTAGGGCTAACATAATTTTAAGTGACCCATTTTCAGTAATTGCTAGAACATGTGCTCAGACCTGCTCATTTTTTTCCACCCTTTTCTTCTATGGCTGCATTGGAGCATGGTGTCCAGGTCCACAGCTGTGAGGTGGGGTGTGTGTGTATTTTTAAAGTCCTGTGGAATGTTTCCTAGCTCTGGAGAACTTTCGCATTTTTTATTGCTCTAGAGGGGGGGAAATGCTCTCCAGAATGAACTGGCTTGTAACCCCATCCATCAACCAGCAGAGCCTCCTTCTGTGTCAGCAAGGCCTCCTTAGCCTAGTGAGATGAAGACTGGAGGCTGTGCCAGAAAGTGCCAATGAGGCCTCATTGCTGCTGCCACCCTCTGGTTAACAAATGATGAAAGTCCCTGGAGCACTTCCCTGCACAAGTTTTCTCAGGAGAACATCTTGTAGGACTGCCAAATTATTTAGCTCTGCCTTTCTTCTCCTGATACCAAGGTAGCTGCCTTGGTGTTTACTTATTGCTCATTATTAATGTCAAATATCTGCACCCTGCAAGATCAGCAGTGCAGCAATTCCACAGCAGTATTTTTATTTTAGTATGGAGGAAAATTAAGGCCCAGGTGCACTTCCTTTCCTGTGCTAGAATGGTCCAGCTCCAGCCTGACCCTTCTGAAAGGTCTTTATCTGCTGGAACCAGTTTAAATACCTGTGACATTCAGGCAGTGGAAAGAACCCCTCAGCCCATTTCCAGTCACTCCTGAGGAATCATCAAAGCAAGAAGAGGCCAATGAATTGCTGATTCTGCAGCATGAACAACCATTGTTCTAAATACTGAAATGACAAACTCTGCTAAACAGGCTTCCAAAGCTTCAGAACACTTTGGAGGAAAAAACAGTGGAGAATAAAGTCTGATCAGTGTGGATAATACTGCAATAGTTGACATAAAAAATCTATTTACCATTTTTTGCTTTATGTTGAAAGCAATATAGCATGTTTTGAATAAAAATATATTGTAGTAAATAAATGTATATTAACATTTTCTAGGATGGTTCTGTATTTGTGAATTATGATTGCACCAAAGCTAAGCTGCTGTACAGTTCAAAACTCACCATATTCAAAACAGTTCAGTTCAAAACTCACCATTGCTGTGGATCAAAGTGCAAGCTCCCCCACACAGACATAGAGACATCATCCAAGAAGGGAGTTCACACGCAAGCCAGGCAAGGGCTCTCTGTGCCTGCCCCACCCAAACCAGAGCTGGAGCCACCCCAAACCCTTTCAGGCTGCCCTATAAGTGCCTTTGCCCAGCCCCTCTGCAGGATGCCTCCTCCCTACAAGGAGAGCTAGAGAGTCTCATGAGCCAACCATCACAGAGCAGCTGCCTGCACTGGGACCCTTGGGGTACAGATGGGCAATCTGAGCCCTCAGGGGAGACCAATCTCATACCCTCCCCTCATGGATGACTTTGCCCCTTTTCAGTCACATGGGTATGCACCCCAGCCCTAGGGACTGCTACTGGCTCCAGGCTCTGGTGCCCACACCTGCCAAATAAGGAGAGCCTGCATGAGGGATAGGGACATCTTATGAGTTAAGGCCTCCCCATGAGTAGGCAACTGCAACAGTGCTTCCTGCCTTGCTTCTCTGCCTGGCCACAGTCTACTCTGGCCTTCAAAATGCCTGCTGATCCTTGCACTCGCCCTGATTCACCAACAGCTGGACACCCAGCTGGACTTGCTCCTGACAAGCCACAGAGGCCAGGAGAAATTCCACTTAGCTGCTGTACTTGAACAGAACTTTATGTTCTTGGGTCTTGAGGTGCTTGATTTGAGTGATCCATCAAAAAGCCTCACCGAATATCCTCCAGCTTTTGATAAGCTTAACTGGAGACTTCCAAGCCATCTGATTTTCTTTGGTATAGGGCAACACGAGCAGGGTAAGCTGTGCAGAGCAGATCCCAAGATCTTAAGGACAAATGCAGAAAGAAAGCAGCAGTGCAAAGAGGGCTGGAATCAACCCTGCTGTCAGTCCAAACAGACACAGACAGTAGCTCATCTCATCAGGACTTTGCTGGAGCCCAAAACCATAGGACCAGTTGCTCTAGCCTGTCTCATATTCCTTCTTCCTGCTTCTTCTGAACAGCTGTGTTGAAAGGGATGCTAAGAGTCTGCACAAAACCCAAGAAAAGTCAAAAGCAGAAGGCTTGTAATAAAGTTGTTTCCTTTGTTTCACAAAGCATGATTAAATGAAAGTTAGCAAGGAGGTTTGTCATGCCCCCTCTGCACTGTGAGGCTTCCCACACCTCTGTATTAATTGCTGAGAAGGCGGCAGGAACTCTGGGCAATTTGCAGCTGATCAGCAAAGTTCCTAGACTCCAGTTATTTAACAAGAGTTGTAACCAAAAAATGGTCAGGGAACATTTCACTGTAGAGAAGCCACAGGCACGGTAGGATAGACCTTATGCATGGGTCCCAAATGATACAGGTTTGGCCATCTTCTTCGCAAGCCTACAGAACACTGGGGGGGGGGGGGGGGGGGAGAGACATTCTGTAGTCCTCAATAGGCCATTTGTTCCCCTGGCCTTCAAGATGGCTTGCCACCTCACAAGAACAGCTGGAGTCAAGAGGCAGCCGTCAAGTGGGTGCCATCACACCCACAGCTGTGCAGCACCTGTCTCTGCTGACATCATGGAAGATTTAAGCCAACATTTGAATTTAAACTTGAATGCCTACTTGCCCCAGCTGTCTTCAGAGCGCACAGACCCAAAAGCCACAACTTGGGAGCTCTGTTGCTGCCTCTCCCATTTAGGAGGCATTCTTTTCCTTCTTCTCTTCCTCCTCTCTTCTTTCAAACTGCCTGTCCGCCAGTGAGGTTTCTTCTTCCAATGGGCTCCCTAATTGCCAAGCTCCTTCTGCCAACTCTCAGCAGCCTGGCTTTCCTCCCAACCATCAGCATTGCAGCCAAGCGGCAATTCCACATGGAGGCCATGGTCTATGTCTTCACCATGTTCTTTGTTTCGGTAAGAACTGCATCTCTGCTTCCCTCTTCTCCCACTTGCTGATTACAATCTTATGAGAATTCCCATGACAAGGGAGGGGGACAGGGACAAGGGGGAAAGAGTTTTATCTGTTTACTTTGTGTATGTGTTAACTTTGCATTGAAATGCCATGCATGGTGGTGTGTCTTAAAAGCCTTTTGCCCCCAACATTTGACATCCTTCTTCCTTGTCAATGAAGGATACGGCTCCATTCATCAGGGGAAAATGCTTTTCATCTATAAAAGTGACATTTTCATTTTTGCTGCAACAAACATGGCCACTCTGTGGGCAGTGGGCAATACATAGTGGGTCAAGTACTGAGCCCCATTCAGGTGGGGATCATCTCAAGAGTAGCTGTTACAACAATTGCCTTCTGTTGTGGGGTCTCCCAAGAGCAAAGTGGACCATTGAAGCCTTTACCCAGAAGAAGAAAAAGGCTTAACACCTATTAAGAATGACCCTTCCAGTGTGCTGAATTTAGTAATGCAAGAGCTAGGCACAGTGACTGCAAGCAGGAAGAATGCTGGGATCAAGAAAGCATCAATACTTCAAGATTCTGTTCGTACCTGCAAAAGAAGGTGCACCCCAAGGCAGGTGAGATGCAGACACATTGATGTTTAATCTTTTGTGCCATTCATTTAAGTGTGGTGCGTGCAGGGAAGCTCTTATATTTTGTTTACAAAGGGCTAATTTTAATCAAGGATGAACTGCTGTGGCAATTACTGAAGGCCACTGTGGTTCTGGGATATTTCAAACATAGGGCATGAACTGAAAATGAACAAGAAGCCTTTCCTTCCAACAAGAAGCCTTTTTTCTTCTCAAACTCAAATATTCTGTTGGTATTTCAAAGTGGCAACCGAGCCTAGTTTTTTGTAATATAAATTGACTTATTCAGTTCATTAATGCATTGAAAGGGAGGTGACTAAGTATTTGCCTAATAATTACAAAAGCAACTGGCAGCCCTGCTAACAAAACCCAACAAAAGTAGCCCAGTGCCCTACGGAGACCTTTACTATACAACTGTGCATGAATAACAACCATGGTAAAGTTTAATATTTTCATACCTGAAGAAATGTCTCCTTCCTTATAACCCCTCATGCCCCTTAAGATCTGTGGGACAAGCCTTACTCCAGGAACCCTCTCTAGAAGAGGTAAAAAGCACATCAACTCAGAGTAGGGCCTTCTCTGCGGTGGTGCCCACTCTGGAATGCACTCCCCGGAAAGGTACACCTGGCGCTGAGTTTATACTCTTTTCAGCACCAGGTCAAAACCTTTTTATTTAAGCAGTATTTTAAAAATGAATAGTTTTAATGCCTTTTGCAGTTGCTTTTGCTTTGAGTTAATCTGATTTGTTGTTTATTGTTCTATATAGTATTATTGTTTTAATTGTCACTGATGTTATTAAATGTTTTAAATTGTTCTTTTAAATTACTGTAAGGCCATCTTGAGATATTTATATAAAGGACAGCATACAAAAGTTTTTAATTAATTAATATATAAGGTTTGCACTGATGTAGAGAGAGCTCTTAAATCATACTTAGTGCTTGAGAGTGTCCAAAGCATAATCTTTAGTGAATTTATGCAAGCAGTTGTTCCCATATTCCAGATGCAAAGGTGGAGTGTTAGGGTTAGGAGTCAGTCAGGTCAGGGAGGGAGGGTCAGTGACTTAGCCCGAGGCCACCTGGTGAGGGTGTTTACAGCTGAGGCAGGAATACAACATCAGACTTCCCAGTTTGGAGCCATGTCTCTTCACTCTCAGTGTTTCACTGCTTATCTCATATTTCATGCTGATGGGGCCCTTTTGGAAATTTGCTATCAGTTCCAGTTGGGACTCTAGGGGGTATAAAAATGAACAACATTTAGGGTGGGGAGAAAGAAATAAGGAGAGCAAGAGAGACGCAGCTGCTCCGGGTCCTTCCGCCAGCCCCTGCTGTTGTGGCTGCTGCTGCCGTTGCCGCTGCCAGGCACTCCAGGGAAGCCAGCCCCAGCGCTGCCTCTGCAGTCCTACTGCAGTCCTGTTGCTGCTGCTACTTCCCCCAGCAGGAAGTTCTTCAGACCAGTGAAAGCATGCACGCCACCTGAGACAAGGGCTCCTGCGAAGCCAGAAACATCTGCTCTCATGCACTCCAGTTCTCTCCTTTGCATGTCTGGATTTCTGCATTCACCTCAAAGACATGAAACAGGCATGGCAAACAATCCAAGACGGCTTAATCTCTATAATGGGGATGGAAGGCAGTCATCTCTCCAAGGAGTTGGGTTCACACAAAGAAGTTTGGTTCCTGATGTCTGCAAGAGCAGAGGAAGATTTGCAGGTATGAAATGGTTACTGATACAGCACCAACTGCCCACAAGGACTTTACCATCGAACAGTGGTCTATCAAAGGAATCCCAAGGGAAGGATGGGGCATGAAAGACTGCCACACCTCTTCTTAGCTGTACAGAGGCATCAGACTGTAAGCTGTCACAAGGAGGACTTCTTCTCTGTTTATGGCTTTAGATCAACAGCTTTTGCCACTCATGGAATCAGAACTAAGCTGTGCACTTGAATGTCTACCTGAGAGCTCTTTGCCTTTCTATGGGTTGCCAATTCAAAAATTGCAGTGGGGAAGTACATCTGGTATAACCAGCAATTCCTGTTTGTTTGCTTAGGCAGATCAGAACACAAATATTTATAAATCAGAGCAGTGGGCAAGACAACAGAAGCAGGTAAGGCCCTGCTAATGCACAAGGAGTGGACCACTGAAAAAATTGCCTGCACCCTAGTCAGAGCCTTCGCTAATTGCCCCCAAGTTAGAGGAAGTGCCTTGAAAGACCCAAATTTCATGTAGCTGGGAGAGTGGAGGGGTCATCCACTTCCAAGGAAGGAATATCTGTTAAGTACCAGGTAAAAACTTTGACTCCCTACACACAGTTTATTTTTCTACTGCTCGTTGAAGGGACCACAGTTATCTTTAAAATGTTGCTTGAAACAGAGTTTTTTTTCCTAAAACGCAAACAATCATTGATTTAGCTACCTTTTTGTTAGATGCTCTAAGAACTTTTATTGAAATGCAGGATAAAATTGTTTCAGCTAAAAAAAGAAAAATGGGGGAATACTGAGAAGCATGTTAGAAAACAAACCACCCCTCTCAGGGAAGGAGTCACGTGGGGTCAGTTTTGGCCATGAGATAAACACAGAACTTTCTGGAGCACGTGGACTTCATCCACCTTGCCACACAGGCCCTTCACACTGACAAAAAGTCATCTATCCTGATGGTTACAAGTGTGTTTCCCGATTTGGTTCCTAGCCCTGGTTTTCCTCCTCCTAATGATTCAAATGGCCTGAGAACAAAAAGATCCACAGAATTAGTTGATGCAAGGAATTAGTTAAGGTCAGTTCTTAACTAAGTCAAGATCAGGAGGCCAAGCCCAAAAATGAGGGGGGATTATCCAGAAAAAAGCTGGGCTGGAAAGAAAACGCAAGGCAGAGCAAGGCAGCTGGTGCCCAGCAATCCTAGGTACTAAGAAGGCATCCAAAGCAGCACTGGGGGAGTGGTCCACACATAAGTGCAGTCTCATGAGGAGTCCCTGTTCCTCTCTGGACACTTCTACTTCTGGCACCTCTCTGAGCCTGCCCCTTCAGGCATGTGCCCTTGCTGGGCCTTGGTAGCCACTCCACATCTGCCTGGTAGCTACTTCACATCTTCCCCTTCAGGAGAGGAACAGTGGATGGCTACTGCCCCATAATACCTGACTGGGGTGCAGCTGCAAAGGAATTCCCTAGAGAAGAAACGGCACCCCAATCTTTAAGGTCATCTACTGTGGCCACTCCACCCTTCATCATTGTCAGTGCATGGACTTTTTCTGCGGCGGCACCAAGACAGTGTACCACCAGCTCATCTGGCAACACCAAAGCATTCATCTTTTTCAGAGGGCCATGGAAATATGGTCATACTTATCTCTGTGGTTGATACCTGTTTGCTTCCTTGCATGCATTTTTCTAAAAAGACCAGGTAAGAATTTTGAACTTTGATAACTGAAATAAACCAGGCCTTATGTCCTCACAGATGTTCCACGTGTGCAATGGCCCTGGTTTATCCATCCTGTGCTTCATGCGATATGACATCCTGGAGTACTTCAGCATCTTTGGGACGGCTTTGTCTATGTGGGTGTCACTGATGGGTAAGAACAAGTCTTGGGAGGGGAATGAAAGCTGTGATGTTGCATTTGGACAATGATGGGTTGCATCTGACGCTGGAGAAAGCCATCAAAATGGCAGGGCGGAAAAGAGGAAGATTTCCAGAATAGTCTCCACAAGGTGAAAGGGTTGTTGGCCTCTTCCTTATGTTCCTATGTATTGTGCAGTGTGTACATGGATAATGCAATGAGAAACACTGTGATGGAATACTTGGTGTAGGTGCAAGGCAGACATGGCATCCAATTGTCTCCCTTCCTCGGAATGGAAGAATTTTATGGGCAGGGGCATCACTCACCTTCATTCTGCCAGTAGTCACCCTTGCACACTGTGTATTTATGAAAGGTTCCCTTTGGAATGACAATGCATGCACATGCACGACCATACATGCATGGGAAGCCCCAGCACCCCCACTGGTGCCGCATGTGGCCATTCTGCACCTCTAAGAACTGGGTTGACTTCAAGTCAGTCCATACACAGTGCCTGCTTCATTTCACATGACAGTTATTATTTAGGGCTTGGTTCATCTCTATGCAATATGGCCCCTCAAACCAGCCCATAGGAGATCTGCTTGAAAAAGTCAATTCAGCAAATTAAATTAAAATGGATTTTGCTATTCCTTCATCCCTAAACATGTAATGAACAGTGTGATCCAAGGACACAGAAGGTCTGGTGCCCAGGTTGTCAGTAAAACTTCCCTCACCACTTGCAAAGTGTTGGATATACTCATGTGTGAATTCAGCCTATCACAGGCCTCTTTCCCAGGACAGCAAATCCAGGACAGCCGTGCTGCAGCTGTTGCAAGCTGGAGACACACTGAGTTAGCCCACAGGGAACCAAAACATCTATCAGAGATTCCTCTCCTCAACAACAGCCTTCAACAACTTGAGGCTCCTTGAGTGTGAGCCTGCAGACCACAAGCAGATGCCTATTCCAATTATCAACTGGCCCAGACTTAAGCCAAAGTTTAAAACATCTTAAGACAATCAAAAAGAACCAGAGGTAGAAAGAAAAGAAGAAACACTCCCTGGAGTGCTTTTAATTCAGGATCCTTTCCTTTGCAACTAGCCCAGAGTCTCTAGATTTTACTATCTTGAGTTCCTCCAAGGTCAGGAAAACCTCAACACTCCAAATTCTTGGAACATAATTAGGTGCATGCATACACTTGTACACACATGTGCATTCACATGTGTACAGGTCATGCCTTTTAACCATGGAAAGCTTAGTTAAAGGACCTTCAAAATTATAGCATACATGTCTGTGTTCTCCATTATTCAGCCCTGGCAGAGTTTGATGAACCAAAACGATCCACCTCTGTGATGTTTGGAGTGCTCACCATAGCTGTCAGGATCTACCATGATCGGTGGGGATATGGTGTCTACTCAGGACCAATTGGGACAGCTGTTCTTATAATCACTGTGAAATGGGTAAGGTCCCTGTTTTAGGCTATCAAAGTGAAGCCAGCAACACATGGTGAGACCATGGTGAAACACCTCCTTCTGGGATTGTCATTCAGTGGTAGGAAGCAGTGGTCATGCTTCTTTCCGGCCCCTTTTCCTCTCTGAAAGAAAAAAAAAACACTCTGTAACTTGGCACCTTTGCAGAGGGCAGCTTTGGGGCTGGAGGAATCAGATCTCAGGCAGTCACAAGGAGGGGTACCACCTCATCTAAGTGACTAGCATTAGCATAACTGCAATACAATGAAAGAAAGACGTTTAGCCCCAACATCCAGCTCTGTTTCAAGCCTAAAGTGCTTACCAGAAAACATTTAACTCAGTTCTAGATTTTGGACATTTAGTTCAGGAAATATCTCAGGGGTGGGTGAACACCTTCCACCATAGCTTTTGTTTACAAATGGCCAGTGTGAATGGATATCCATCAAATATCTGTCTCCTCTTGACTCTGTTTTCCAGTTGCAAAAAATGAAAGAGAAAAAAGGGCTCTATCCAGAGAAGAGTGTCTACACACAACAGATTGGGCCTGGCTTCTGCTTTGGTGCCCTGGCTTTGATGCTGCGGTTCTTTTTTGAGGTAAGCAGACCGAATGGAAATGCAAAATACGAAAAGCTCCCCCTGCCAGATCTGAGCACAAGGTCACCCAGCCAACATCTTGTTTTCACAAGGACTAACTACACACCTCCAATCTGGACTCATTGTTTAGGGAGCAGTGGGCTAGGAAATTGATTTGGGAAATCACAATTTGAGAATCAGGAAGTGTTGGTGAGTAGCAGAAAGGAGTGGGGGGGGGGCAAGGGAAATGGTGCCACTAAGAAAGTGAAGACGTTAGGAAAGGCTCATCACAAAGGTATGCCTATGTGGAATCTCCACTTTGGCCTCACTCACCATGCCAAACTACTGGGGACTTGGTGGTCACAACTGCAGCTGTGGCTCATGAATGCCAGGTCAGTTAACCAGGAGATATCTAACTTCTTTGATCTTCCACTGGAAGCATTGTAGCACTCAGTTCTTAGATGAAGAGCAGCTCCTTCCCCTACTCATGAAAGATGTCAAGCATCCATGGAAGCTCCAGAGGTTTTCACAAGTCCATCAAGGTGTGCCTGCCCCAAACTCAGCAAAAATCATGGGGGACATTCTTCAGTTCCCATATAGCTTCCAGCTCTCTTTTACTGCTACTGTACTAGAGCAACCATCCCAGCAATGCATGGCCTTTCCTTGTATGGGATGTGCTTCAGTCAATAAACAAAGATGGGGCATTCCAGGCCCACTGGCAGCTGAGAGCCACAGATGCCCTCTCTCTTACTGGAGCTCAGATGCCTTTTTTTCAGACAACATGGCCATGCCTGTAGGATGGAAGGGTTGCTTGCTTGCTTGAAGTCTTCAATGCATTCTTAGGGGCTTACCTTGTCAGACTATAACAAACCATTAAAATGCAATGGCATATATTAAAACCAAATAATCAACAATGCATTAGAAAAATCATGTTAAATATTAGATCAGAAGGAAGGCGAGAATTATAAAGAACTGAAATGCTTTCAATTTTTAGGAAATTAATGTCTTTTCCTGAGATGGAAGTGCCATCAAAGAGAGACATTCTAGAGACATTCAAAAAGCATCTGGACAGTCATTTGAATGGGATGGTGTACCTTAGTGTCCTGATGGCCTTCTGGCCCTTTCCAATTCTACTATTCCATGATTCTATGAAATCTCCCTGTAGTAGGGATGCCACCATCAAAAGGGCCCTTTTGTCCTTAGCTCCCCATAGCACCTCAGACAGTAGTCCTGAGTGCCTGAGGGCGGATCTTGGATGAAGATATTAAGAGTCAGGAAAGCTCATGTGGCACTGGGTCCCTGCTGTGCTGAAAGGCCTTTAACTATCAAAATGAGCCCTTTGAGCATTGAGGCTGGACATCTACGCTGAAGGTGCTTTGAGACAGAGCAGAGACTGATAAGCCAAAGGCCCTAGTGCAGCTGTTTTGCTCCCCCCACCCTTTATTGGTTTTTCTTCATTAAGGAAAAAGAAAAAGTGGGAGAAAAATCTGGGAGGGTCATGAGAAGACTCCTATAAACATGTATAAACAAGGCTGGGTGATGGCATCAAAGAAGTGTTACCTGGAAGCCTGCTGAGAACAAGAGTAGGTTGTTGACAAAGCAACAGCAGCGTATAATGGTCACAACTCCCAGAACCACATAAAAGTCCTCCAAATCTCTCTCTGATATACACACACACCTTTCCAGAAGTCACACCCATGCAATATATACAAACTTCAAGAATGAAAGGTGTAAATGAACAATTTTTTAAAAAAAATGGTTCAGGCAAAAATTGTTCATGCATGTGCTGAAGTGACTCCTGCGGTGAGTACCTTGGAAATGAACAGATACTGCTTATTAGATATCCTTGACAATTGCTTTTCAAGGCAAAGAATAACTGCACATTACAGCAAAATGTGAAAGTGTCTGCCTTCGGGTCTGTAAATGTTCCCATCATCTCCTACGGGAAAACAAAAGCCACAGCACATGCCAATTGAATTGTGCAGTGATCATATTTGTGGCCTTTCCAGCTTTGCTAAAAGAAGGTGCTACAACCCACTGCACTGCACGCAAACAGCAAAGCAAAAGGGATACTCCACAGATGAGTTTAACTGCCTTCCTCAATGTTCCTCTGCCGCCATGTTTGTTTTCTTAATCTGTACTAATATCGTATCAAATCAGTACAAAGTTCTGTCAACTTTGGGAGACAATATACCTAAAAAGCAGTATACAAAGGCATAAAATAAATAAAACATCTTATTGCATATTGGGGCAAAAAAAAAAAAACCAACTTCAAGTTTAAGATGATGGATCTGAGCTAGCAGTTACTGATCAAGAAAGGGTTTTGGGGGTTGTGGGAGTTAGCGCAACGAAAATGTCAGGCCAATGCAAAGCTGCTGTGAAAAGGGCAAACTCCATGTTCGGCATAATTAAGAACGGAATAGGAAATAGAAATGCCAAGATTGTATTCTCCTTATACAATTTTTGGTGTTACCATGATTATAAGATTGTATACAGTTCCAGTTGAAAAAAATGCAGAGAAGGCCAAGTAAAAGGTTAAGGATGGTGAAGCAACTCCCCTGTGAGGAGTGGCTACAACGACTGGAACTGTTTAGCCGAGATGAAAAGCAGGTAAGGAGAGACACAAAAGAGGGGTTCAAATTCATGCCACATGTGAGATATTTTTCTCACCCTCCCATAGTACTAGAACCTGGGGTCATTCCATGGAGCTGGTTGGTGGGAGGTTTAGGGCAGATAAAAGGGAATACACAAGATATAGTTAAACTATGGAATTCACTACCATGGGAAGTGTTGATGGCCAGCAATTTGGATGGCTTGAAAAAGAGAATTGAACAAATTCCTGAAGAAGGGGGTTATCAGTGCTTGCTAACCTTGTGGACTACAAGCTGCCTCTGTTACCAGAGGTGGCATGGTCTGCACACACCAGTTGCTGGGGTGCTTGAGCAGATAGAGGTCTTGTATGCACACTGCTGGAGGGATCCTATGTACAGCTACTTTGCTTCCATGTGAACAGAGTGCTGAACTGGATGGACCATTGGTCTGATCCAGCATGGCTTTTCTTATGTTCTAGTGCTCTCATGTTTTAAGATGAGGATAAAAGGAAGAATGAAATCTACCTTTTCATCCTGCCTGGCATTGTCAGGGCTGTCAGAGGGGCAGATGGTTATTTTTACAATTCTGGGCTGGCATTCCCATGGCTTTGTGTTGCCATTTTGGCTGATGCCCCCCTCCTCAGCTGGCAAAATTGGAGCATGCAAGTCTGTTGAGGAAACATTTACTTCACAAGGCAAATGTCGTTTGAAAAACTCGTTTATCCCATAAAGGAAAAGAAAATTGGTAGCCTTAGGTCCCAGCATTTTTGTGCATGAAAAAGTAGGCAGCAAATTCTGCAGCAATTTTAGTCCATGAAAGCATGTGGTCAATGAGCCAATATTACTGGCATGCATGGGTGGTTACCCGGAGCATTCATGGTCAGAAGCAGCTTAATGAAGAAGCCATTTGTGGGCTGACCCCACATAATAAATGTACTCATGTCTTCAGCAACAGATGAGTCAAAGCCAAAGCACTTCCCATGTCCCAGCAAACCTCATTTTGGATGAACCCACGGCAGCCTAGAAGCAATGATACCATTTTAGGAAAGAGGTCCTGAGATTCCTCACAAGGATGCCTGGTCCAAAGGTGCTTTGCAACTGTCACTCCCTGTGCAAGGGGGAATTTGCACATTGCAGTGGCCCAGCTCAGGCATGGGTAGCATGCTGCAGTTGCCCCTGATGACTTTCAGCCATACAGCCCAGAAAGGAACTCTCACAAGTCATTTCCCTCCCTGTCAGCACAGACCTTCATCTTTCTATAAATATATGCCAGTGCCACCAGCAGCAGGCCAGGAGAGGCGGGAGGGCACATGCCTCCCTGTCTGACCAAAGCCAGTGGTACCATCCATGCCAGCAAATGAACCTGGCTTTGCACTGTCAGGGAAACCCTTATGCTGATACAGACAACGCTGCAAGCAAACCCATAGAGAACTACACCCTCTGGCTCCCTGAGGCAGGAATCCAGCCATGGTGCTTTTCCATAGCCTCAGGTGAAAAGTTTGTCCACTCCACTCACCTAGGAATTGCCTCACAAGAGCAGGGAGGGGGCAAGCATCTGACTCTGGCCCTAGAATATTTCTGAATACCTTTGGTCAACATGCATTTTGGCAAGCAGATTCTTGCTTGCATTCTTGCAGATTATTTTCATGAATATATGCTTTTTCTGTGTACTGTCCTGCAATATGGGCATTTTTACACAATTTTAAACTGGAAAATTGTGTTGCAAATAAGTGGAAATTGGCAAATAATGAAGCATGACAGCATAGTGTTTTGGGAGCTCTAAGGTCGTATATTCACAATAAAATGTAAACCCAACACTAGAGAAAAGCTCTTTGCACATGTTAAATCCAATGTTCTCTGTTACTCCAGGAATGGGATTACACCTACGTCCACAGCTTCTACCACTGTGCCTTGGCCATGTCATTCATCTTCCTGCTACCCAAGGTGAACAAGAAAGCAGGCAATGGGGGGACTCCAGCCAAGCTGGATTGTTCAACGCTGTGCTGCTGTGCTTGAAGGAAAGGCTTAGGGAGGGAGCTGATGGTCTGCTGCCAACAAGAGACTCTCTGCCGCTGCATCACAACTTCAACCCAGGCCTGTGTGAGTTGTGTGCCTTGCCCAGCTCAATGTGGCTGTTTCAGCCACACCGAGAGACCCTCACAGGGTCCACCTCCTGCCTGCAACTACAAAGCTGACTTGGCCAGGCCTCAGTGGGCATGGTGGGTCAACATTGCTCCTCCACTGCTTGAGTGCCAATGTGAGGCTTAATCCCCACATTGCTGGTGTGGATGAGATGCTACTTCCTGGACCCAGTCCCATGCCATTCCTGTGAGCCTGTAAATCCAGGGTGCAGTGCTTGGCTCATCCACAGGGCTCCCAAGGTCTCCAGTTATGGCTATGAACGAGAACAAATGAATGTCAGTAGCAAAAAGATATGCTTCGCTCGATAGAAATTGCTGGGACACAGAAATGCACTGTGGCTCACAAAAGCATGATTCTTCAGGAAGGAAATTCTAGTCACCATGACCCATGCCCAAACTGCCTCCCATTAAGATTACTGTAATGCCTTCTATATTGGACTGCCCTTGGAAAGCACTGGGGAAATTCAGCACATACAAAATATGGCAGTCAGATATTTTCAGTACCACACTGTAGAGACTGCAACTGGTATTTGAAGGGCACATTCTCCCACCTACAGAAGACTGAGTGGTGGGATGCCCAGGATAGGACCTTTTCTAATGGAAAGACCCCAGTGAAGAACTCACTGCAGGGGAGGTGAAGTTAGCTTGTTCATTACTATGAATGCTACTTGGTGTCTAATATTCCTTTCTAATATTGCTTTTAACTGCAGTTCTTAGGCTAAGTTTTATTTATGGTTGTGTTCCTGTGTTTATTGCTTTATGATGTGAAGTTTTGAGTGGCATTTTTGTTGTGCATCACTGCCTGCAGTTCATAAATGAACTAAATCAATCAACTATAGCATCATTAATGTATGACTCCTACCAGGCTTGTGGTTAGATGGAGGGTTACCTGGACTTCGACAAGGCTTTTGACAAAGTGTCACATGATATCCTGGTTGAGAAATTGAAGAATTTTGGGATAGACAATGCACTATCTAATAGACTGGTCAGAGAGTAAACATAAGGACGGCGGCCAGTGACGAGCAGGGTCCCCGTTCAATCTTTTCGTTAATGACCTAGAAGAGAGGGTGACCAGTCTGCTGATCAAATTCACAGATGATACTAAAATGGCAGGGGTGGGGGTGGCCACAACTGAGGAGCAGGTACCAGAGGATAGACTAGGGAAGTGGGCAGGGGACAACAGGATGGCGTTCAATGTGAATAAGTGCAAGATCTTGCACTTGGGGCATAGGAATGGGTGTCACAGGTACAGGATCGGGGACAAGTGGCTGAAGAGCAGCACTTGTGAAAGGATCTTGGGGTGCTGGTTGACTGTAGGCTGAACATGAGTCAGCAGCATGATGCAGTGGTTAAGAGGGCAAATGCCACCCTTAGTTGCATAGCCAGAAGCATGGCTCTAGACTGAGAGATGTATTACTGCCACTCTATATGACTTTGGTGCGCCCACAACTGGAGTATTGTGTTCAGCTCTGGACCTCTCATTACAGGAAGGATATAGCCAGGTTAGAATTGATGCAGTGTATGCAAGGATGGTGGCACAAGGATGGTGGCCAGATTGCAGAGGAAGCTGTATGAGGCGAGATTGAGGGAACTGGGTCTTTTCAGCTAGGAGGAGACTCCGAGGGGATCTGTTGGTGACACATAGGTACCTGAGGAGATGTCATGCGGAGGTAGGTCAAAGTAATGGGAGGTGGTTGAGGGTGTTCAAGGATAGGCTGGACATACACATGGTTGGCATTTCATTAGTGGAGCTGGATGGACTCAGGGGTCAGACTAGATGACCCAGGAGGTCCCTTCTGACTCACTTTGTCTCTATGTTGTGAACTGAGCAACATTCAGTGGGTAAGCATAACTGATCTGAAACACAGGTGAAAAGTGTGTGCAGCCTTTGCTGCGTTTCCAGGCTGGTGGACTGACTGAAGCAGCCTCTGCTTCCAAGAAAATTCTATGTTTTACTTAAACAAAGGGGCTCTGCAGCCACTTCAACCAGAAGCAGGGGTTTTTCCTCTAGCTGTTTCCCAGTTCCTGTCATGAAGCACAACCCATTCAGGTTAAATCCTGCAGTATTTTCATACTGTTGCAAGTGGTACACTCATATTTGTCTGCATCAACATGAAAACGTCCTAAGATGAGATTCATTCAAAGGCAATGCTGAAGCTGCAGCTGAAGAGACAGAGAGAGAGAGAGAGAGAGAGAGAGAGGGAGGGAGAGAGAGAGGGAGGGAGGGGGGGAGAGAGAGAGAGAGAGAGAGAGAAGCCCTAGTGCATAATAAAAAGAGGGTTGGGTGTTAGATCCTACATACAGAAAGCATTCAAGGGCTGGACATTACTTAGTTCTCTTTCCCAACCACAGGCCAATGACCCAGAAGTTAATACAAGTTCAATAGCTGCTATTCCTGAATAATGGTTGATGTAACCTGACATTTCCAATATTTTCTGCTCTAGAAAGGAAGCACTTATTGGTGTCTTTCTTGGGATGGAATGGTTTGGTTAGCTGACAAACTTAATGAAAAGAGAGTTTTCTTTCAGTTTATGATTAAAGAGAGAGTAGAGAGTAGAACTTTCAGTGCAGGAAAGTTGCTTCCCTCTTGTAGCAGGAACCAGAGAGAGTTCTTCTGCATAAATAAGGCAAACCAAGAGATAGCTATTTGGAAGGGGAAAACTTCCATAATAAAGGAGAAGAGAAACTTTAATCAAAAGTTATTTCTCCCCCTTTTTGATGAGAAGAATGCAGAAATCATATGTGCCATTTTTAACATCAAGGGGCGACAGGCTGAGATGGGAGAGGGTATTCTATCTTTCCAGATAATGGGTTGAATCCAGATACAGTTGACCCATTGCTATGATCTGCCAGATCTAGCCCAATATGTTTGCAAGTCAGTAAACTTGGGGGTCTCACAAACAGTGTAAGCCATTTCAAAAACACATTCCATTCAATATTGCTTTAAAAATATTTGCTGATGTGCTTAAATTGCCCTTACTTGACTTCAAGGCCATCATCATGTAACCAACCCTGGAAGTATGAAATGACATTATGAAATGACATTAAAAAGAAAGGTCTATCTCTGAGCCTACACAGATTACTTTTGCACTGTTAGCACATTCATATGCACGCTAACTGGCATTAGAGGGCAGAACCTGCAGAGGAAAAGAAAGGGCAAGTATGCATGGTTCAGCCCCAACAATCTCCCTCTGAACCGCTGCAAAATCAGACAACTACATTTGATTGCTTGATTTGGAGGTTCTGTTTCCAGGCCTTCCTGGGGCACATACTCCCAGTCCCTGGGTGGGTACTCACACACTGGCTGCTTTGTGCCACCCACCTGCTCACCCCCAAACCTTCAGCAGGTGTGTGTTCACACAAGATCTTTTCCACGTCACCTTCATGGAAAATTTAGAGGCAAAGAAAGACACTCCCATAAAGGGCAGTCTGAATGCCTGCAGCATCCCAACTTAAGCAGACTGTTTAGTGTTGCTGAAGTGGACGATTTATTTATCCTGTCTGGGAAGAGAGCCAGGGCTGTATGTCATGGACAATTAGAGCAGGATATCCACCAATATTCAATGAAAGCCTACATTAATCCCAGCTCCGTCTGGAAGACATTTGCACCAAAGTTGTCCATCAAGACACACTCTTGGCCAGGCCCAAACCACCCCCAAACCAAGAACCCCACCATGAAAAACAAAAGAAAAAATCAGTGCACACAGTGTGCCATCGGCTGTGGATCACTGTGGTATTTAGGCCATGATTCTTCAGGGCTGCACAAAAGGAAGATACAGGAGCTGGTCCCAGGTGCAGAAAGCAGCTCTTTGCAATCTCATGCTTCTCTTTCATTCACATTGTTATTTCTTAACATGTCACCCTTCTCATGAGCCAGAGGAATTACCAAATAAGGCCATCACTCAATGCAATAGGAGTTGTGGAATTGTGGCTGAAAACTGTGGCTCAGCTTGTAGTTGCTTCCTTAAGGAAAAGCCTGATGTCAGTGTTGTAGAGCAAAAGGCAGGGAACTACATTAGGTGATGGGGATGTGAGGTTTGGCAGTGGCCGCATGATGTCACGTTTTCTCAATTATACAGGGAATGTGGCCAGTTGGTTTCAGTGTCAAACTTCTGGTCCTGGCCACTTCAAGACTGGTCCCCAGTTGATGATGGCCAACGGACAGAGTTTTTGTGCCCTCTGCATCTCCTTGCTTTTTTCCAAAGCAAAATATGTCATGAAAACTGCAGGATAATTTCTGAAAAATGGAAGAGAAATTGGGCCATTTGGAAAACTCCATAAGCTAGCTATAGAATAGGACGTGGGAGATCCAGCTTTCATAGCAGCACTTTTTCAGTTGTTATCTTTGAACCTACCCAACTGGGCTCTAGTAAGAATCAGGAATGGAGAGCAGCCCTTGGCATTCAAAAGTGCTGTAGAATTGAGGCATAATTCAGCTCCAGCTGAACCCCTCCCATGCCTACAAGCACACTGCTCATTTCCAGCCTGTTTATTACCAACTGCCGAAGGAACTTGAGTGGCAGGTGTGGCTTTTTTCAACCATAGCTCCTGTTTACTTAGAAACTTGGTCAACTCCAAACAAATGGAGGGCTACCAAGTAAGGTCACAGCTGAGTAAATAAAGACAGGAGACCAAGCTGCAATGCAGTTCTTACATAACACAGCCTGGCTTGTCATGTACAGTGATAAAACCATAGATCTGAGGAGAAACATCACACATACATACCACACTCCCCAAGGGGGTGGGGTAACAGCCAGCCGGACAGCCGGCCAGTCTGTCAGAACAGCTGTTCACTCCAGTCATCTTGGCTGCTGACAGAAATGCACAGCAGGTCGTGGAGGAAGAAAAGTCTGTCCTGTCCCATTGTGTCCACAAAAGGTGTTTGACCAGACCTGTCTGGAGTCATGACCTTAAGACACCACCAGTAAATATGAACTGTCTGTAGGTGATCAGGCATAACAATTAGAGGGAATGGTGAGGTGGGGGCTAACACAAGCCATTTTCAAAATGGAAAACAAAACTCCCAAGTTCATCTAGAAATCTGCAAGTATGAACCACCCAACCTACCACCAGATTAAGTATGTGCTCATGTCCATCAGCAGCCTGGCTGGGGCAATTTCACACCAAATCCTAGTCAAAGTCAAAATATAGTTAGCATGAGTTGAATGCATGCAGAACCAGCCGTGCAGGAGGAAGTAGTGTTCCTTAGCCTCTCTCCAGTAGTCACTCCCTCCTCCCCAAATGGGGGAGGGCTGGGAGTCCCTGTGAAACAGGGTAAGCTGTGATATGGAGGGACTATCAAAAACTAGGTGCTGGACCTACCTCCAACCTTCAGTGTGTGTCCAGCAAAAGCTGAATTCTGCACCTGTACATATTATGCACAATCAGTGATTTTGCATACTTCCTCTTACTATACAGTAATATATTCTGGATTAAGGCCATACATTGAAGCCTTAGTAAGCTAGGGTTACTAATGATCATTAAACACTATATGTGACCACCTCTCTTAAACAGTACCACTTATCTTTGCTATCATGGGGACTAGAAGCTTGCTTGCTTATCCTCCTCCTCCTCCTCCTCCTCCTCCTCCTCCTCCTCCTCCTCTCATAGAAGTCAAGATTCTCTGGAAACTAAATGCTATGCCTGATCACCCACAGCACACCTCCCTGGGTTCCTGCAATCACAGGGTGATCAGAGCCCTGGCTGCCAGGAGGCTCTCATACACTGCAATGTCAATCCTGCCATTCTAAGGGCTCAACTGCATGCCAAGATAAATAAATACTATGCAGGTGATCTCTTTCCTCCAAGTAGCTGGATGGTCCCCAATCCAGATCAAGATTTCTGCATGTAAGACAGGGGAGGTTTAAACCCTCTTACCCTGCTGCTTTTCCCACTAACCCTCACCCCATGTCGGGAGCTTAAAGGGGGGGATTGTCTTATATTATTTTATCTTTGTAAGCCGTTCTCAGGCCTTCACAACAGGATGGCATATAAATATTCTAAATAAATAAATAAATAAAATTGCGGAGTGATGCGGCTGGCCTGGAAGGTTACCTGAACTCACCCAGTTCCACATGCAGTTACTTGTAAGTAAGAAAGTGTGGGTCAGCTGGATGCTATGTATATAGTACAATGTGTACGTAGTTTAGCCATCATACACACTGAAA